CGAGCCTACTCGGGAAGGCTCAGTCATGGTCAGGAAAATCACTTGAACCTATCCGGAGGGCAGAGAGGTTGCGATGAGCCGACGGATCATTGGGAGGCTGAGGCAGGAGAATGGCATGAACCCGGGAGGCGCAGCTTGCAGTGAGCCACTGCACTCCAGCCTGGGCAACGAAGTGAGACTCCGTCTCAGAAAAAAAAAAAAAAAAAAGAACTTAATTCTCATGGAACTTAGTTGAAAGGGGCTATTCTAGAAGCTTGAGGGCTAAGCTAGGCAGACATCCACCTTAGCGAACCAGATGGCATTTGCCTGTGGTCCCAGCTGCAAGGGAGGCTGAGGTGGGAGGATGGCTTGGGCCCAGGTCAAGGCTGCAGTGAGCTGCGATCATGCCACCGCACTCCAGCACTCCAGCCTGGGCGACATACTGAGATCCTGTCTCAAAAAAGAAAAAGAAAAAAGAAAAAGAAAAGAAATAACACAGAGATCTGAGTACCTGAAGAGCTGGTTTTTGTTTATTTGTTTTGAGACAGGGTTTCCCAAGCTGGTTTTGAACTTTGAGTTCAAGTGATCCTCCTGCCTCAGCCTCCTGAGTGCCTAGGACAACAGGCACGTGCCATTGGACCCAGCAGGATTGGTTTTATGGATGCTAAGTTCAATTTTGGGAAAGTGAGTTTGAGCTACCTGTGATACAATGAGATTTACTCAAGGAAGTTCATAAAGCATCATTATTTTTAAAAATTATGAAACAACCTGATACACTGTTTTCTTTTGTTTTTAATTTATTATCATAACCCCTATATAAGACTGTGAGCACCATAAGAATTCATCTGTTTTGTTCATAACTATATAACCAGAGGGCCTAGTACAACGTCTGCTACATGGTAGGACTCTACAGTATTTGAAGGAATGAAATTTAATGTTCATCAGTGGGGCAATACTTACACTGTGATATATCCATACCATTGGCTTCTATACAAATAAAATGGGAAAAAAAGAGGTAGTATTTTTCCTGCCACCTACAGAAATGTGCACAAAGAATGCTTATTTTAATTTAGCATAATCAATTATAGTATGGAAACCCAATTTTTCTTTAAGTATTCCAAAGTCAAACACTGATTTTCAAAAATACCCTGTGCCCTTCCTCCTCTCTACACTACCATAGTGGATCTGCCACAGACCTACCTCCTTGGAATCTGTCGGTTCAGAAAATGTGTTTAAAGGTTTGTTTATTCAGGACAACTCCAAAGACCACAGTATATATATTTTTCCCATCTATTAATATAAAGCTAGACATGATACCCTCCAACTTTCCACAATGAGAAGTATAAGCACTTAACCTTCTATAAGAATAGATATTCATGCAACCCTGCCTACATCCACCTCACCACAAGATCAGAGATGGATGGCCCTGCTCCTAAGGCAACCCTTTCACATATGCATCACATCCCACCCCTCCTCACCAAATCCTGGACTCACCAAATCCTCCCAATTGCAGGAACATTCCTCCAGCAATCATCCCTTCTCACCTCTGCACCATCAGCTTTGCGCTATATGGCATCACTCCAACTGACATACAACAAACTCTATTATTTCTTCGAACCTAAAAGAATCTGAACTGTTTTCCCTAACAGATACTATCCTTTTTCCTTGCCGCCCTTAGCAGCAAAACTCTCAGCAGCAAAAGTATTACCTATATTGTATTCACTGTGGCCAATTTCTCTCCTAAGCCCATTGCAATCAGGCTTTCATTCCCACCATTCCATCGAAATTCCTATTCTCAAGATCACGAGTAACTTCATGTTGCTAAGTCAATTCTTTATCTTCATTTTCTTGACCCATTAAACAGCATTTGATACAACTGATCACTCTCCTTTTCCTTAATAGGCATTCTTCATTTAGCTTCCAGGAGACCACCCTTTCTTACCTCACTGGCAGGTCCTCCCCATCACTCCAGACTTTAACAGCATTCTCTATCCATACTCACTATCCACTCCCATGGCTTTAAATATCATTGATATGCTGACAGTTTCCAAATTTATATGTCCAGCTCAGACCTCGATCCTGCACCTATACTGAACTGCATCCTCAACATCTCTATTTAAGGCTGGGAGTGCTGGGCGCGGTGGCTCAAGCCTGTAATCCCAGCACTTTGGGAGGCCAGAGGCGGGTGGATCACGAGGTCAGGAGATCGAGACCATCCTGGCTAACAATCCTGGCTAAACATGGTGAAACCCCGTCTCTACTTAAAAAATACAAAAAAACTAGCCCCCTGCCGTGGGTGTGTCGGGCCCTTGTTTAGTCTCCAGCCCTACCTCGAGGGTCCTGAGGCAGGAAATGGCGTGAACTGGGGAAGGCGGAGCTTTGCAGTGAGCCCCAAGATCAACGCCACTGCAACCTCCAAGCCCTGGGTGACACAGCCGCGAGACTCCGTCCTCAAAAAAAAAAAAAAAACAAAAAGCCTGGTAGTGGGGCCTCAATGCCTGTAAATCCCAGCCACTTTGGGAGGCACTGAGGTGGGGTGGACACTTGAGGTTGGGAGTTCCGAGACAGCCTGGCCAACATGGCCAAAACTTCTGCCTCTACAAAAATACAAAAAATTACCCGGGGTGTAGTGGCACATGCCTGTAATCCCAGCCTAACTCGGAGACTGAGGCGGGAAGGATCACTTGAAGCTGGGGAAGGTAGAATTGCGGTGAGCCGAGATCACAGACACTGCACTGCAGCCTGGGCAAGAGTGAGAGACTGCCGTCTCAAAAAAAAGTCCTCCAATTTTGGAAGTCTATAACTGACCTCCTTGATGTCCAACCTCGCTTTGAACTTGCTCCTCCTTGCCAGCTTCCTCCATCTCCAATTGATAC